TTAGTTTCGTTTCATGCCTGCGAGGTTTCGCAGATTTCGCGCCACGCACGACGCGCCGGCTGGTCAAATTTACAAATCGAATTTGCATGCGAAAGTTTATGCAAACGTTCGCCACACACGCCGCTCCCTCCGATAATTTTATGATAATTTTACGGTGATTTTGCACACCTCCCCCTTATCACGTATCGACACATCGATGGGAGAACTTTGCTCATTAGCAATCCGCGTGCTCGAATCGTTTCCAACCGGCCTTCCTTTGACTCTCAACACGTGTATAAACAGGTTTGTTCCAGGTATGGATTCTGGTGATTAGAAACTATTGATTACAGCCTGGCAATTACGCTCGAAACTCGAATCGCGGCGTTGGAATTTTGATGCGAGCCGATTCACCATCGATTTCTGACGAAATGTAACGCTGGAAACGATCAATTTCCAATTCTTAATAAGCTTGGACACGATCGATATTCGCAACAAATGTTTGCAAACGTTTGAATAGTGTATCCTTTTAAAATCAAAACTCGGTGATAAGATCCGATCGAAATGGAACGTTTCCAAATTTATTACCGATCTAAAATTTCGAATCACCNCGATATTCCTCTTCTTAACCTTGGACACGATCGATATTCGCAGCAAATGTTTGCAAACGTTTGAAAAGTGTATCCTTTTAAAATCAAAACTCGGTGATAAGATCCGATCGAAATGGAACGTTTCCAAATTTATTACCGATCCAAAATTTCGAATCACCACGATATTCCTCGATTCGAATTCTTAAGGCAGCGTAATTATCGCGTCGATAATCGAAGGGCAAAGTTTTCCTTAAAGGCTTGCCGGCCCATTGACACTGGCAGAGTCGTTGGGAGCCGTCGTCCACCAACCCTTCCTCGAATCTAAATAGCACCACTGGTGCAAACTCGTCCAAGTCTCGAATGCCCAACCCGAATACGTAATGAGTACGTGGCCTCTCGGGTTACGCGGGCCGAACCATTATGACTAATCGTTTGGAATGCCTCGCCTATTCGGGGCCGGGCAAACATTTCGCGAGCGGAATAAAAATTTCCTTCCATTTGATATCGTCGGAGATACTTTCTTAAAAGTTTCTCGAAAGAATCTTGACATTCGACGGATCCAAATTGTAGTAAATCGTGTATTCTTCCGTTATTATTATTGTTGTGCACGAATTTTTTCTCCATTTGCTTCGTATTAGAAAATTTAAAATTAATTACACCACGACTTTCCCCGATCATATCTCGATAAATTTCTTTATCTCCAAAACCAGGGAATAAATATCATTTTCCAGCAAATATATACATATATATATATATTTGTTAACAAAATTTCCTCGGTTCACGACTCAGGTTCCCCAGGGTGCACACTCGCTCGACGTCATCTAATCTATGACCTAATCTGAAACGTAAGTACGGTTCAGCAGCCCCAGTGGAATAGACAGAGAGAGGAAGATGGAGTGCGATGTACAGGGTGTCCGTTTTATTCGAAATATATATCGTAAGGAAGAGACATCCTATTATGCGTTCTTATTTAAAATTAGAATCACATTAGAAGGTATCTTGTTATTAATGCAGCTTATTTCATATTATGGATGAAAGAAAATGGATGTTATTATCCTTTTCCTTAGAAACAAGATGTTTCACGATGTTTAAACGAAAGAGACACCCTGTATACGCCGCAAGATCGGAGCGACAGAGATGCGATCAGATGAAGCGAGTGGAGTGGGGCTGAGACTGAGAGGGACAGAGTGATAAATACGCGTACAAAGAGATGAGGGAGAGGGAGAGGGGAGGAAGATGGCGGAATAGAGATGGAAAATGGACGTAGGCAGGCATTGGTAGCGGGCGTATTAGCGCAACGATTGCCCGCAGCAGGTCTGGGTTAAGTGAATGGCTGTGCCGAGGGCTTTGCTGATTATGGTGTCGTCATTGATCCAGATCGAAATTGGCTTGCTTCTGTCATGGAACGCGCTCAGAGGACCATTAATATCCTCCTGGGTGCTTCGATGGAACGAGAGAAATGGCCAAAAGGGGGAAGGGGTGGCCGGTCACAAATTTTACCAAGATCTCGTGACGATCGAAATTATCCGATTCGATAATTCGGTTATTTAATTTTCTTTGATACCGTTTTTCTTTCTTCCTTTCTTTTTTCTTTCGTAAAATATCCCAATTATCGTGTCTCACGATTAACCATGCGATTCACGATGAATTCATTTTATTATTCGTGCCAATAATTTCGTGCTTTTATTGTTTAAAAAGGAAGGATTAAAAGGAAAAGTAGAATTAAAGGGAAATTTCACCGTAATAATGGCACCGTTTATTACGATAAATCTAAAATGATAAATTGAATTGGTAAAAGAAAAAGAAGAAAAAAGAAGAAAGAAGAAAGAAAAGGAGAGGAGTAGTCTCTTAGTAACCACACCGATTCGAGAAAATTTTCTATAGAATCATACGCAAATAGGATTTTATAGTTGGAGGAAAAAGCAGGATAAGGAAGAATGAAAAGGAAAGGAATGGAGGGGGAGGGAAAAAGGAATGATTACAATGGTGAATCCATTGAGTGGTCTGCATTCAATTCGTGTGATTGAATTGGTTTTCTGCAACGGGGGTTTGCGCGAGTTATACTGCCTCGATAATGTACCTTGACGGACTTTATAATTAGGGGAGAAGTCAATTACACGGGCCGCTTTCTTTCGTCGGACGCGAATTTAGAATTCTTGTACGATATTACAGTTTCGAAAATTATTACATTTACACGTCTTCGACATCCAAATATTTCTTTTCCAATATTCACTCCTTAATTATTTTCAAAGACAAAATTTCATAATTTCGATAAACAACCAACCTCTGTCCACAACCGAAAGAAACGATTCTTTTTCCCCCTTTCTCCCCATGTCAAATATCGAGATCAAAGAATTAATTACAAGCCTGTCCAATTTCCAATCCAACTCGATAGAAAGGCCCGTAATTTCGAATTGCCATCGTGTCACGCCAATTCGAGAACAAAGGCCTATAACTGATAACACGACCGTCGAAGATACGTACCGTCCAATCTGCGAACAACCGTCGTGCTTGGAGAGAGGAAAAACCGTGGAAAAGTCAGCCGAAAGAGAGAAAGAAAGTGGGGTCGGTTCCGCCGACAGACTTTTCGACAATCGTCCAAAGATAGACCCTCTATATTATTCGCTAATCGAAGATTCCAAGGCAGATATCCCCCTCGAATCAGATTAAAACTCCGTCTCGTTACGGGAGATCAAAGGAATCAATTCTCTAATGGCCGGTTAAAAATATTGGTCTTTCAGTAGTTGCATCATATGTGCTCCGATTGAATGTGGACAGGAAGTGGAGGATCGTTTTTCTCTCCCCCCCCCCTCTCTCTCCCCTATCCATATCTGTCGATTGCCAATATCTTGCCAAGATGGGAAGGAACGAACGGGATCTCTGGGTCAGATAAGAGTTAGTGCTCACTTGTTGACCCGTTTCAACCGATCCGTAATTTATAGGGATGTACCGGGTGCTCGTGGTAACACGTATCGTCACGATTTTAAGATCGAGATGTTTATCGTCCTTCTTCTTACGATAAATCTTTCATTGTGAAATATATTTTTTACAAATTATTAATATAATTAATATAATTATTAATATAAGAATTTGATTAATCTGAAAAATAAAAATAAATAATGCTTTTGATTCTTAAATAATAACTCGAACAAATTTTTTTTACACGACTTATATAAACTCGATTCCAGTAATTCACTTACGTGTAATAAATACGTAAAATCATATATATATATATATTCGAATATAAAAACATCAGTTTCCATCGGTCACTGAATTGCAAACATTTTCCACTCAAATTAATTCACACTTGCCATCGAGACTGGCACATCAATCATCAACATCAACTCGATTGAAATTCCTTCTTCGTAACAATACACTCTTAACAAGGAACAACACGATTATCAATTACACTTGATTCCTTCTGCACAACGGATACATCTCCCTAATTAATTAGAAAACGCGAGATTCAATCGCAGAGAATATTTTCATCAAATTTATTTCATCGGTATCCGGGGACGGATGATATTTACCCGCCCGTTTTAATTAAACGCGGATCATTCGAGGGGGATTTTTCGATTGTCACTATCTTAATTATGCGCACGATTCGTTACATTAATATTCCGCGTTCCTCGGCAAATGTTCCTCGAACAATTTCCGCTTCCACCAACGACTCGACAGGTCCTCCTCTTCGAATTTAATTGAGCGCTCTTCGATTACTACTCCCTCCTCCCCTCCCCCCCCTCCTCGCCTCCTCCCCCAAAGGGTTTAGGCATAAACTTGGCCGGGATTTACCGATACCGCCCCCCCCCCCCCTCTCGAACCGGCCGAATAGTTTCGATCGAAAGTTTGCGGGTCCCGCCGCCATTAAACGGTAACCAATCCCGCCAATATAATTCCCGGAGCGAAATTCGAATGATTAGAAATGGTCGCGAAATATCGAGGGGTGGCCGAGCTCCCAAATTGATAATTTTGGGAACCGAGTTTCGTCTCGTTTCGTTTCGAGGTCGATCAGGAGGAAGGAATCCTCGAGATATTCGTCGAGTAATAAATAATAAGAAGATGGAGGGAGAATTTTAGAAATTTTAAGGGCAATCAGGTTTTTAACTTTTTAATCATCTCGATTACTTTTATAAATCTACGTTAAAATTAAAACATTCGCCCTGATCGATAAATTGGCCCTATTCGATTAAAAGTCTTTTGAGAACGGCCGCGTCGAAAACAGTTATTCAAATAGAAGCGGGACTATTAGGGGTTGACAAGGGGTTGTCGCTGTTGGAAAGTTTGTTTAAAACAGCGGAACAATTAAGTTTGGATTGAAGTAATTTAAAACGGGGAGGAGGTGCTCGCGTTCGAAACTTGTAATTAGAAATGAGGGGAAAAAGCGAAACGAAGTTAAAGCTGTTGTTTTGTATTTTATATTATTCTCACCCTCACCTGTGCACCGACCAGACCGGCCCGTAATCTAGGAATGTCCGTGTGGCTCCAGTCTGATCTGGCCCAAGGATCAACCCTTCCGAGATCGCTGCTCAGATTCACCTCGCCGAGTTGATTGTGTACGAACTTTCTGACGTTCCAGGGCAAATCGTTGTGCCTGGACCAAAGAAACCGTTTCGTGAATAATCGATCGATTAATCGATATGAAAAGGTCTTTCCATAGTCGAGGAATACTCAAACGAATGAACTCAATTGTGAATGGATAAGCAGTGGTACAGATCGATCATAGTTAGGGCAAGTGAAATGAACGAGAATAGGAGAGACATAAATGCAACGGAAAATTATTCTTCCAATTCATTTCCAATTTCGAGACTTGCGCGCCATCTAGGTGACATATAGGTGTACGAGCTTACCCGTCGATCAGAGGCACTTCAGTGAGGATCCTCCTGATCACGTCCAGCCTCTGCTGATGCGTGACAGGCGCGGATTGTAGAAGCAATGGTAGACAAAGCCCACCGAGGAGGAGAGCCGCGACTAGGAGCAAGATGGGCGCCAATACTCGGCACCTCCTGCGAGGACTCTCCTCCCTCCGATCTTTGCTGCTACCGCTGCTTGGCGAATCCTCGCACGGTGGTGGCAGTCGCACTGTGCCGTTGCACGGCGCCACGTCTGGCAGTTCTGTTAGGCACGTCGTCTGAAACGGAAACACACCCTCTAAATTATTATCGTCACGCGTGTCCTTTCATCTCGTCCACGATCGTTATTGCCATTTCTATTTAGATTTATTTCAAACGAATGAAAAAAGAAAAAGTCGAATTGAAATGCAACAAACAAGAAAGAGGATAGTATAGTTTCATATAATTTGATGTATCTATCTTCCAAACGATTATCGTTCGTTAAAAACTAAAGTGGAATAAAAAAAAAAAATGTGAATCGAGGAGGTGTTCTTCAGATGCAACAAATGGAGGAGGATAGTGTAGTTTAATGTAAATACTGTGAAAGAGAAAATGTAACAGTAATCGAGGAGACGTTCTCTCTAGAGAGAGTCGCATTGCAGACAGTGTGAAACTTTTCTTCGCACTTATTCCAACCCCTATAAAGTATAGAGTAACATTGAGACGGGTTCACCACGCGTGTCCTCAAATCCTTCCACCATTTACCAACACTCGGACGAAACTTTTATCTGGCTGACACGAAGCAGAGCATTCTTTTCCTCCTCGATACAGCAAGTTGGAAACGATCTCGTGCCAATCTTGTGTAAACGATGATACGCGTCGCGATTGTGCGATATTCATAGATGTGGGGTTTCGTCTTTTAAAATTGGAATTGGAATTTTTACCGTCATTTAATCCTTTTTTCTCTCTCTCTATTAATTATCAAAATTTCCAAGCTTCTACGACGTACAATATTCCTTGTAGACACGGTTATATGTCGGTTAGTTTCGTATGCGCCGATATCCAATATCAATTTCGGGAACAAGTAAACGAAGCATCACCAATGCTGACAGCAAACCAATTCCCGCACGACTCTATTTTTCTATTTCCAGTACCATAACGGTTTTATTTCCCAGCCAAATTCCATTTACATACCGTACAGGGAACGATACGTATCCGCGAAAAATAAATTTTCAAGAATCTGTATGGATACACGAATAACCCCACTGCATTCTACATTTATACACGCTGTTAATATGATCGAGCTAATCCGAAACGATAATGATAAAATACGAATTACCATTTTCCGATTTTTATCCAACGAATCGATCCTTCCAACTTTAAAAAATATTCCAGTGTTCGATTTTTTAGAACATCTATTCTAAAAATTGAAGTCGATCTCGCCATAACTTCAACGAGTTAGTTCAACTGATTTCACTCTATTTTCAGTCATCGATGTATCGACGTTTGGATTCCATTCTTATTTAACGACATCATCATCGAGTTTCACGCACAAATTGTCGGTCCTATCCTACCGCATTGGCCGGTAATTCGGCGGGTAGCTGTTGCCAGTTTAGGGCAGCATTGGGCGGCGTGCAAGTCGGGGGGAATCCCAGTCTCATTCGGATTCCCCCTCGTTCCGCAGTTCTCGGGTTTCTTCTCTCTCTTTGCATGTATACACACACGTATACACACACGCTGCGCCCACTAGAAACTTCGTATCCCCGTGCATCCGCATTATTGTGCTCTATAAATACAGGAAACTCGGCTGTGTCGAGTCTACACGCGGCCAAAGAGAGAGAGAGAGAGAGAAATTGTACGTCAGCCAGATAAAAGTTTCGTCGAAGTGCCAGCTTCTTTCGACTTTCTCGCTTCCGCAGTATGAAAACGTTGTATCCAACGACAACAGGGCGGATTGCGGATATTCACGTTGCGAAAACTGCGAAATTTGCTCGAGGTTATGCGCAACTGATATACGGATGATATTTGGCAGTCTGAGGATAAATTGCGATTTCTCGTGGTGTTGAATCGTTCGCAGCTGGACACGGGCGATAGACTGGGCTCAAACTTTGCAATTTTTTTGCTCTCGTTTCTTTGAAAAAGAAAAGAAAGAAGTCGGCCAAGTTGCATTTGCAAGGGAATAAATCGAGAGGATCTTTCGCAGTTTAAACAATTTTCGAATCCATCGATTAATAAATTGATCTTCTCCTTAATGGTGGAACATTTTTTGTTGTAAATGTATTTTATTCTCTTAATGATTAAAAAAAAAAAAGATGAGCAAACGCATATTAAACACATATTTAAATGAATTATAGCAATTAGAGCAATCTCTGTTCACGCTCCATCTTCGAAAATGTATAGCGTGTATAACGTGTTCTTGGTGAAACGGTGGATAAAGGAGAACGTAAATTTTACACGGATTTATACCGCGTATATATATAGCGGTATAAAATTGGATTCATTTAGGCGAAACACAAACGGTGGCCACACCGGGCCCGCTCCCGTGAAATTTAATTTTCCCTTTTAATTGATCGATACTATCCGGAATTCGAATTCCAATTTTAATTAGAATAGATCTACGTTGCGCCGCTACCAACTATACCGGCCAACGTCACGCCACGTTAACAAGGAATTCGCCCTGCCGGATAAATGTTATTAATGTTACACGCGCCCCGTTCCTCGTAAATAATCGTTTAATTACACCCGATCGTCGTTTGATACGCGCGGTTTTCGAACATGCTGTAACCGATTCCCATCTTCCGCTCCGATGGATCCTCCAGTTTTGTGGCTTGCATTAATCCACGAATATATTCGAATAATTATTTCTTTCAGAACTGATTTTTATATCTCTCTCTTTTCTTAAATCGTGTTGCTTTCCTCTCTTAGAAACTTGATATTTAAACGAGTATGCATACACTACTTACGTGCAAGTAGTACAGTTTACCATTGATGAATTCTTCCGCATTCCATTACTTTTTTATTACTCCAAACGAATTGGCATCGTTTCACGAGAAAATATAATCCATCCTCGTGGAGCTTCCTTACTCGATTAAATTCCACCGCAAATGTGATAAAATATTAATCGAGCCTACCATACACGTCCATCTTTTATCATCTTAAAATTTCCCACCACCAATTTATCAATAACCGGTTCCTCTGATCCCAAAACAATGCACGCGCGATATCTAGCAGCGCGTTCCCTCCAAATCTTTCTTCCAAAGGAGGTCCAAAGCCGCGAACTTTCGACTTTCAAACTTCCCTACGCGATTATTGTCTCGTCCCTCCTCCTTTCTCGTTACTGGCACACCGCCACGCGTTAACGAGGGAACAAGACGAAACCTCGCCGACGGATATTCCTCCATTTTCGAATATTCACGCGGCATCACGTAGATCCAGGGTTTTCGTCGGATAACGATGATTTCGGCCATGCCTCGAAATCGACGAAGATTTTGGCGAGATTTGTTTTCTTCGTTTCATAGCCGTTGTACGATTCTGTTTGATAAATCGGTTAATATTTTAAACGGTATCAAAAAAGAATAATAACAAAGATTAATAGAGAAGCAAGTTTAACGAAATATTCATTGAATGAATATTTTATATCAAGTTCTAACCTGAATTCTTGGATTCTTGAAATGTTGTACAACAAATTTTCGTATTCAATAAGATTTGGACGAATTCACGCGTTTCGATATTCGTTCGTTGGGATAAAAATGTTATTTGGCCGGATGTATCGTCGTTGAAAAAGAAATTTCGCGGAAAAAATACGATAAAAGCAAGCGGCCGACATCCATCAAGTTTAGAAGAACCACCACCCTTGATATCTTCCAACTCGAGGAGAATCCCAGAATTCCATTTTAACGGCTCGCTCCGGACAAAGTGTGTCAACATTTCCTATCCATCCGTGCCAGAGACAAAATAATTGCGGCACAATAATTGTTCACAATTATAACTTCGCCTCGTTTGCCATAGCGATTTCACTCTCCCAGAGTGAACAAACGCATCGCATCCGTCAGAAAGTTTCTACAACCGTCGTCTACTATCGAATTCGTTCCCTGGTTAATAATCGAGACATTTTGCACGTTCAAGAGACGGCCCTATTTTTTTTTTTTTTTTTACTAAAAAATGGATATTTATTATTCGATAAATTTTTATTCCAACTTTTATAGACAAAATTTATTAAAGAAACACAAAATGTGGACTAACTATACGGTTATCGTTTAAAAATTCGGATTGGAATTTAACGCTCGCAGTTTAAATTTTTAAACAACATAAATCAAAATCTACGCGGAAGAAAATTCGACGGAGGAAAGATTGGAAAAATGTAATATAACGAAAAAAGAGAGGAAAAAGGAGAAGTTTTTTTTTTTCTTTTTCTTCGAAGTCGAATATCCAAAAAGTATTCAAGCACGGTTAATTGTTCCGAGATATAATATTGTCACATGGAGAGTGAGAAGAGGGAACGTTTTATCGCAGTTTCTTTCTCACGACATCGATAAATCAGAATTATTACGCAATGCGGAACCAATTTCGATATCTATCCTCGGGGCGAAATTGCCAATTCGTTCCACGATCTCCTCGAAAAATTACGATCGGGATAAAAAGTAATTGAAATTTTTGGGAACTCTGTCGAAAGTCGAGTTTCCAGTTTTACTCGAAATTCGAATATTTCAACGAGAGAGATCGTGCCAATCAAGAGATTTATACCCGAATTATCACAAACGAATAGAATCATCCGCTCGAATCAAGTATTAAAATTCTTTTTCCAGATTCTCCAAAAAAAAAAATCTTCCCCAGAACGTGAAAATCATTAATCATCCTCGTGTCCCTTTTCTCTGAAAACGAATTATTTTCACCGTTCGATTAAAATATCGGGGCATTCATCGAAATCGAGCATCGAACCACCCGGTTCGACATAATTATTCCGAGGGGGCGGCCTTGCTTAAGGCGGTGTTGCTCGATTGCAAAATCGATTGCCGCCCGGTAATTCCCCGCTGTTCTGTCGTCTTCCGTTTCACGCGCCCTCCTTCGTTTTTTCGGCCATCGTCTGTTCCAGTAATTAAGGGAACGGTCGACGCCGGAGTCGTAAATGGTTATTAAAGGCCGCGTGTTACGCTCGTTATAGAGTTTCCACCAAGGTGGGGTTCATTAATTAAAAATTCTTTAAAACTAGTTCCTACGGGTTCAGCTTGCGCGATACCCACGGGACATCTTCCGTGGACTTTGCCGTGGAAAGAAAAAAAAAAAAAAAAAAAAAAAAATA